TACAGTCTGTGCAGCAACTAGTCAGTACTGCTGTTGTAGTGCAAAAGCAGCCATAGACAATATGTAAATGCATGAATGTGGCTATGTTAGAAAAAACTTTTTTTTTTTTTGGAGAGGTTTTCGCTATAGGGCGCGTGCGCTCGCCAGACAGAGAGAGACATAGAGACAGAAAGCGAGAAATCACCCCCCAGGGGGGATGGTCACACTGCAATCCCTTCTCCTCCATTCTCCTCTTGGGATCTTGGGCACGCACGCACATGCGCCCGGCATGAGTTCTAAGCCACCGGGTCCGGACGCGAACCGCGGTTGACTACATGGGAGTCCAGCGACATAGCCATTATGCTAACTGCTGGTTCCCAGAAAAAACTTCTCTTTACGAAAACAGGCAATGGGTAGATTTGGCCTGTGGGCCAGAGTGTGCCAACCCCTGGTTTAGAATGTAATAAGAGAGAGTCGTGCTACACTGTGGTGTAGTATGGTGGTTAAGAGCCACCATGGTGGCTGGTCTAGGGCCAGCATGTGGCATGGTGGTTAAGGGTACTAGACTCCCATGTGGCTGACTGTGATTTGAGTTCTGAACCTGGATGCATGCATGGTGGTTAAGGGTACTAGACTCCCATGTGGCTGACTGTGATTTGAGTTCTGAACCTGGAGGCTTGTTTTCTCACCTTCTCTCTCTCTCTATGGAAATATTAAAATAATAATAAAGTTTTTAAAAAAAATCTTTAAGAAAAAAAAAGAGCCTGGGTCTAGGGACTAGCAGATACCATAATGGTTATGTTGATGGACTCCTACATAGTCGACCATGGTTTGAGTCAGAAACTCACACTGGGTGCATGTGCATGTGTGCCCAAAATCCTGCGAGAAGAATGGAGAAGGGATTTTAGTGTGGCCATGCTCCCTGATGGAAGGGTAATTTCTTGCTTTCTGTCTATCTCTGGTGAGTAAATGCGTCCTATAACAAAAATCTTTCTTTAAAAAAAAAAAAAAAAAAAGGCATGAGTCTAAACCAAAATACTGGGTCCAAACCGTTACTACTTACCAGCTCTTAACTTTCTCTGTAGCTTTGTTTCCTTATTTGTAAAATGAGGTAAAAGCAGTAAACATCACAAGACTACTGTGGAATTAAATAAGTTCATGCATAATACACTTAGAACAGTGCTTGACATAGTAAGTGTTAGTGACAATAAAGATGATGTTGATATGTTTGTCTTTTTTCAGACATGCTTGAAGGAGTCAGATGGTAGTGATACAGAGGATTTTGGTTCTGATCACAGTGAAGACTGCCTTTCAGAAGCAAGCTGGGAACCTGTCGATAAGAAAGAGACTGAGGTATGTCCAGGCAAATATGTGCTGGGTAGTTCTGCAAGCCAGTGAGTCATCATATTTCTCACAGATGAGTGATGTACTGTAGTCTAAGCTTTTCCCAGGTGAGTAGACAAGTAGTGGCTAGGTACAGAGATCAGCCTTGTCATTTCCCCCCAGGATGCTTTCCTTTGTTGCAATGTTGCTCTTCCATTGAGTTGACCAGGACCTGGAATTGTTCCTTGTGCCTTGTTAGGTGACTCGCTGGGTTCCAGACCATATGGCATCACACTGCTATAACTGTGACTGTGAATTCTGGTTGGCCAAACGAAGACACCACTGCAGGTGAGATGTTTTGTGACTTATAAGACAGTGCAGTACAAGCGTATAGAACTAAATTGAATTAATCTGAAGATGGAGACATCTTCATAGGAACTTTTTTTTTTTAATTTTTAAATTTAACTTTATTTATTTTTAATTTGACCAGATAGGGACGGAGAGAGAGAGAGAGAGAGAGAGCGCGAGCGAGAGCATGAATGCGTGCAGACCACCATGTCTGGGACTTGAACTGTGGTTGGCCATATGGAAGTCCAGCACCCTTAACCACCATACCACTTGCTGGCCCCAGGAACTGTTTTTATTTGTTCTCAACTTTTCATTTACTCATAGAAAGTCTTTTTAACTATCATTTATTTCCAGCGTATTGGTATTTCTAATGAACTTTTCCCTCATTGTGCTTTGGCAGAAATTGTGGGAATGTATTTTGTGCTGGATGCTGCCACCTGAAGCTGCCCATTCCTGATCAACAACTCTATGACCCAGTTCTCGTCTGTAACTCTTGTTACGAACACATTCAAGTATCTCGTGCCAGAGAACTCATGAGCCAACATCTGAAGAAACCCATTGCTACAGCCTCAAGTTGAGTGCCAGAGGAGACGACCTGTCCAATTTTAGCAGGTTTGAAAGGAGGATCTGCTTCAGGTGTAGTTTGGAAGGTTCTTTGGTGTGGCTCATGAAATCACAGAGCTCAAAAGATACCGTCTTGAGAAATCCTCCTCGGTACCATGAGACTGGAGCAGAGGAACTGCAGTTTGGCAGGAGGTCCTCTACTAGTGAGACCCTCACTTTGGGTAATGTTCCAGACCCAGAGCCTGGAAGCTTAACGTTGAGTTGGTGGCTCCAGCCTTTTCTCCTGGGGGTTACAAGATGATGATTTCATAGATACTGTCTGGTGCAGAGTGCCCCAAACAGCAATGAAAGGCATATGTATAACCAAACTCCAAGTGATAACCAGACCCATCTCTCCTCCACCTTGAAAAAAGCAGATTATAGCATACAAGACAGGAGATCCTGTTCTCTTTGAAATGAACTATATCCCGTACCTCTGTGCTCTGTGTCTGTGCATGAAGGCTCAGTCGTTAGAGGCACTCTAGTTGCATTAGTACTGTCTTTCTGTGGTTTGGTTTAAAGACTGGTTCAGCAAATGGAGGTTTGGATGTATTTTTCACTCGACTCATCAGCCAGCATCAGTGAAGATTCAGTTTAGGGGGACATTTCTAGGGAGTGAGACATTTTCGAGAGCAGAGGGCAACTCTGCTGATGTTCAGTCCTGGCAAAAACCAGTTATTTTGAGCTGTGAAAGCAGTTGTCTCTGATCCGCAGTGGCAGCTCTTGAGGTATGCACTGTGAAGAATGAGAAGGGAAAAAACAAAGATGATCCTTGTGAAATATCTGCTGATTGTGCCCTACCCTTTGCACCTGACTTTTCCTAGTTGTCCTGGTGCTAATACAGGAGCTACACCTTGATCCTCTCCTGGCATGAAAATAAAACACAAGTTTTTGTTGTTGTTCCATTACCCACTTCCCCCATGTTGTCGTTCCCTTGGCTGCTGCCTCCTCTGGGTCACACTGCTTCTTATCCTGAACACTTGACACCTTGAGGGTAGAATTTAGCGTTTGGTTTTTACCTCCTAGAATATGCTGTCTGGTATGTGAGGGTTTCAGTACAAATGCTGCTGTCTATTTCTGTGCACTTAATAATGGAACCCAAACAGAAGAGAATAAAGCCTTGATACCAAAATTGGGAGAGAAAAATGTGTCCATTTGGACCAAACTTTTTTTTTTAATTTTTAATTTTTTTTTCATCTTAATATGTACCAGTGGCACTTAACCAAAAGATACAGTGACAATAGCCATGTACTGTGGTTGGTACAGATACAGTCTCCTTGGCCTATAATGAAACAACTAGGACTTCTTTTATACATTTTCTTTAACTTGGTGTATGAGAGATAAATTACATTTAGGCTTATCCTACTGTAAAACATGGTAATCATCTTACTGCTACTTTGATGTTGCTTTCTAGAAAAAAAAAAAAAAATCTCATTCCAAAATAACATTTATTTAGAATCTGCATTTAGAACAAGAATTGTTTTTGTCCTGACCTTTTCTTCAGTCCTACAGAGAAGCATCTGTGCTTCTTTTATACTTGCCATGGATGTAACCTAAAAAGTTTTGGAGTATTTAGGTCAGCCTAGCAGAACTGTTTTTGTTGCTGTTTAAATGGAGCTGAATAATGGAGATTTTTGTGTCTGGGAAATTTCTGAGATCATTGAAAAAGTAACAAACTCTCTCTTGTCTATGATACATGAAATTCTTTTAAACATTTTCTCAATCATTAAAATTTACTGCCAGTTGAGTGGCTTTTAAATTAACTTGACTTTCATTGCACTTCACTCTGCCTGTTTTCAGGAGGAGTAGCATTGGTAACATTTGGGGAGACTGTATCTGTCTACTTTGTGTGGCTGTTTTGAGGACCTGTCCCATCAGTGAACAAACTGCATGGCCTTGGAGAGAGAGACTCTGGGCTCTTGGCTCAGATATATTCATCAAATACTCCTTTCAGAGCTGTTGTGGGTGTAAGTGACATGATGTGGCCAAAAACCCAAACTGTGCAGTTGCGTTGTGACAAACATGCAATGTGCTGTAAAAACTCAATACGATTTAAATAAAATCTCTATATTAGTGCTGCTTTGTTGGGTCTTTTCATTCATCTTAATTTCTTTTTTGTTCCTTTGACTATGAAAAAAAGGCTATAATATACCTTTCCTCCCACTAATTTCCTTTTTATTTAAAGATCCCTCTCTACATTTGCACAGTTCAGCAGTGCTTATTGACTGACTGGATAGGGATTTGTTCTTATGGATTCTGTAGAATTCTATCCCATCTCTCTGGTGAGGTTTATTTATTTCTCTTTAATGTCTAAAATGTCACAAGCCTGGGTGACATAGGATTATATTTAGGTTTTCAGGATTCTCTTCTGGGCCCTAGTTCTTATCCTCTAGTAAACTGTCTTGAGCAAACATACTGGCTTAAAAGGTATCCTTGAAATAAAATGCTACTAACCAATAGGTGAAATTTGTTCATTTAGGATGTGGTACCTGGGCTGACACCATTGTTACTTGGAGAGAGGAGCAACTATTTGTAGGTTACAGAGAGGCCCACGTCTTCAATAATGACCGGCTCTATGCTGCCTACGGTGCTCCCTGCATTCTAAGTCCCCGCTCGCAGGCTGGGCTGCAGCCCACGAATCTTTGTATTCCACCGTAGCTAACTGGGCTTCTTTCTCGGCAGGACTTAGAACCCCCCGGTGGGCAGCGCTTCCTGCCAGAGTCTGTCGGTTCAGGAGCGCAGAGGGAATGCAGCCGCGTGTCTCTGGGTCGGCGGGCCCGCGGGCGGCGGAGGGGGAGGGTCGCTTGCGCAGCGTCGGTCGCGCGGCGGGAACTCGAGGCCCCATTGGCCGCGCCGCAAGGCCCCGCGGGGACTCGTGCGCCAACGGGTCCCGGGGGCGGC